CATCAACAAACAAAATATTTAAAGCAAAACTTCCTTTTCATTTACCTACCTGCCGACTCCAGAGTTCAAAGTCCCGATTCATTCTTCATCAGCTATTGTCATTTCAAAAACCAAAGGCAGGGCAGAGACCAGTATTTCTGCACTGTGTTTGGTCATTATTGTCAAAGAGTGCAATAGAATAAATTGCAGATAAAGAATTCAGAAAGTATGGCAAAGGCAATATTTTACAGTCACACTGTATCACAGTACAAAGAAAATCACACATTAGCTTTTAAAAGTGTTCTACCACTTTGACCTTAAAATCCTGGAGATATCATCCAAGGAACATAATTAAGATTCTCAGAAAGTAATTGCTTAGAATTGGAAGACAAAAGAGGAGATGTGTAGTTCTTCCTAAGAAAACATTATTTTTAGAGAAGCACAAAGTACACTGTAACAGGTGATGGTTAATTTGATAAGATACAACTAAGACATAACTAATGCTAAAGATCTGAGTGTAGATGAACATAAATATTTCTTCTACTCAAATAATTGGATAAGGTCAACAAGGACATTCTAGTTTTCAGATGATAGTTACATTTGTTTTATTTTTAAGCATGGCGAGAGGCCTATGTGGCTTTTGGTCATACATGTTAGAAGGAAAGTCCCAACTCTGTAAGGGCTGAGGTAAGTCTTAGAAATTATAAACAGCAAACAAGCTACTTAGGAATGATACCCAACTAAAAAATTATAATGGCTCCTGTTTTAAATGGCCCCTGTTTATTTTGGGGAAAAGATCTATTTTTAAAATGACTAAGGATTTTATAGTTTTGTGTCTTGCTTCCAGACATAGTTCCTGAAAAAAAGACTGGTGAGTCACTCCGGATGTTCCCAGTGGCCACCGTTTTCAGACATCTTCAAAGTCACAGAAACTTCCCCTACCCCTTCTAAAAAAACTCAGTAAGATTTTATAAATGAAAAGCCCACAAAATTAGGCTGACTTTGGAAGAGTTCATAATTTGTAATATTTTAATAAATATCCAAGAAAACAGGAGTCATTGAATGGATACTGTCCCTATATGTAGGGCTGGGAGAATCTAGTTTTTATGAGAAAGGTGATTCCAAAATCTCTCACATTTATTTTACAATTCCAATTTTGGCCTGAGCATATCTATCCATTTATCTACCTGCCTACTTATTGATCTAGCCCGTATCTTAGACAGAGCATGTGACGAAGGGTAGGCCTTGTTCGTAAGCCACTGACAGGGAGACCCCTGACGAAGCAAACGCCATGCAGTCTGAAACCTGGAAGACACGGTTCCGCACCGGTCTGAAGGGATTACTGTACTAACCAGCCTCCGGATATCCCGCTCCGACTCCCACTTGATCTTCGAGATGGCTTCTTGGTGGGACTGATGCTCACTCCTGAGGTCCCCGGCCTTGATCTTGTCCGCTTGGATCATATTGCTCAGAGCCTCGTCCACCTGCTTCTTGGCCGTTTTCAGGTCCGTAATTTCCTGTAAGAGCTTAAGGCGCTCCGCGTCAAACAGTTTCCTGGCCTCCTCCCGGGCCTCGATGGTGAGCGCTGTCCTTACTTTGTCACTGCTGCCATCCCGGAGAGCACAGAGGGCCGACTTGAGCCTCTGGATCTCTCCGTCTCGCACCTTCACCGTCCTTGACATCTCCTGCTCGTGCTGTTTGATGAGATTCTCCCTCACGGCCTGCAGCTCCTTCATCTTCTCCTCATGGAGCTTGGATTTGAGTTCTGTCACCAGGACCGTGTGCTTGCGCTGCTCCAGCTCCCGGATCCTCTTCACTTCTTGAGTCTTCTCTCTCTCAAGCTTCGATACCTGAAGGCAGAGAGACGAGAGGATGAAGAGAAATGAGCCTCAAAGGAAGGGTGTGCTCTGAGGCAGGATCTGCAGCCCAGGCCCCTGTGATCTCTTAATTCCTCCTCTTTTCCAATTCCAGGCCCTCTGGGGGAAAAGAACCACGGGCCTGAAAGCTAGGAATACCGTGCGTAAAAGGAGGAAATACCTAAGGATGGTGGTATTACTTTGTTCAGACAAATATCTGATGTTCTGGGGCCCTACTATGCGCTGTGTGGTCTGCAGACAGGTAGCACCGGCGTCACCCAGAAGCTTGCTGGAAATGGCAAATCCCAGGCTTCCTCCCAGATCTATGCATCACAATGTGCATTTTAGTAAATCCCCAGGCAACTGGTATATACACATTAAAATTAAAAAGTATTGCTATAATAGTTTTCCCAGTGGTGGGGAAGAGCTCAATACTGATTACTTGGGAAGCTTTTCAGACTGCACAATGCTAGCTAGATCCACACTGACACATGTGGGTGTCTCAGGATAGCTCATAGTTTGATATTGTGATCAGACTAATAAATTAGTGCCTAAGATGATATAAAATATCCCCCTCCCTCCTGTTCTTTCTTTCTTCTTCTTTTTTTTTTTTTTGTAAAGAAGATGCTGCTGCTGCTAAGGGTTAAGGTTGGGAGTGAAGAATGGAGACAGCTGATGATAGCCTCGACCACATCTTTCTCAGTATGGCAACTCAGTGTGAGCCCCAAACTTTACACACCACACACACACATTACACACTAGCCAAAACAAACAACAATGACACAACAATGCTGTAGTCATCGGGTCCTCTCTCTGGCACAGGACTTTCGTGGCGGTTGTTACTCCTGCATGCTCCATGGACGTCTCCTTGAGTCCTTCCCTCTCTCACTCTTACCCCTCTCCTTTCCTGCCCCCAAGGCCAACACTCCAAGGAGTTTAATAAAGTATTCCTGATAATCTTTTTACCTTTCAGGATTTCTGGTTTTACATAAAATCTTCTGTGTTTTGTTACATTTCCAGTGATAACATAGGTCTCCTTGTAGATTAGCAATGGCTCCCTTAACCAGCCTGTAATGAGTCAGTCTCTGATTCGGTAGGTCAGGGTGGGGCTTGGCATTTGTAGCTTGAAAAAGCCTCTCAGTAATCCTGTTGTCCTCCTTCTCCCCACTTCATCTCTGCTGCCTGAATCTCTCTGTCTCTGTCATCTCTCTCTGTCTCACACACACACATACACAAACCACACACACAGAATAATCTGGAAAAAGGGAAGAAAGTTGGGGATCTCCAGGAGTAATATTTAGTTGGGCGATATTGAGTGTCTGCCATTTGTAAAATTGGAAGGTTTCGCAAAATAATAAGAGACTTTCCAGCTAAAAAAATTTAAAATTCAAACTCCCTATTGAAACCATTGTATAGTGTAGGGTGATGTAGGGTGAAAATGAAAAAAAAAAAAAAAAAAGAAAGAAAGAAAAGAAATTGCAATTATAACATAAAGTGTTTGAGATTTTACTTACCTTAACAGCTTACCTACCTTTAGCTAGAACAGTATTTTCTAAGTCTGAATAGCATTTTATGAATAGTTTATTTTTAAAAGCACACAAATTATTCCCATGATGATTATTCTGAAAAAGCTCAAGCGGAGTTGGCAAAATAAGCAGCCAGGCATCCTCAACCACCCATCCCCTGATCTCACCTCCACCTGACACCTAAGGTGCCCTCCCGGAGGCCTGTCTTCTCATAGGCTCTAGAACTGCACTGTCCAAGGTGGCAGCCACTGGCCACATTGAGCGCTTGGAATATTTCAAATTTGAGTTAAGATTTGCTCTAGGTATAAAATACACTCTGGATTTTGCAGACTTGGTGTGAGGTAAAGAACATAAGATCTCTCATTAATCATTTTTTTATTGATTACATATTGGAACTATTATATTTTGGATAAATTATATTATTAAAACTAA